CTGCACGGGCCACTTGACATGGTAGTTATGTTCTAGTTTTGCTACACTGACTACATGTTAATTAACAAACAAACTAGAATATCGGTTAGAAACCGAAGACTTATCGATCAAAGGTTAGGGGATCCCCCACAACAGTGGTCTTACTCCATAGTGACACCGTGTGTCCCATCACTAATTAATTAATAACTCGCTAATTATAAGACATAATCCATCCAAAATCAATAGGCTTTTGATCCGAGCTATGATGAATGTACATGCATTTTGGAGGCATTCAACCTCGTGTTCGTGAGACATCGCGTGCATCTAACACACAGACAAACAGACATACAGACAAACAGACATACAGACATACAGACATACAGACATACAGACATACAGACATACAGACATACAGACATACAGACATACAGACATACAGACATACAGACATACAGACATACAGACATACAGACATACAGACAGACAAATACCTATCAACATACTTACCGATCTTAAGATCGATAAGTAACAATACCTTCACACCAAACTTTCACAATTATTAGAATACTGTAATGAAACTGTTGTTTCCCAACCATTGATGGGCGCCATCAATGGTTATTCCCGAAAGTTTCGCCAAAGAAAAGCCAAGACGCATATATATAGACATCATATAGCAGTGGTTCTTAAACTTTTTCGAGCGCGACCCAAATCTGAGTTTTATGAATACTCGCGACCCAATCCTAAATAACGCAAAATGTGTTTTTAACGTTAGTACAGTTTGACTCAAATACAGACAACTATTCATTAGAAACAGTCCATTGACTCAGTGAGATTGATGGAACTGAAATTTCCTTTTCATTATATCTTCAATACGCAGCTCTACTTTACTTAACGCAATACGCAAGTTGTCACGGATATCGAGGCGATTGCGAGCTTAGTTTTGATAACCGTCAGTGCCAAATATCCTCGCTCGCACAAGTGCCTTGTCGCGAATTGTAGCAGAAAAGGCGTCCGCTGTCCGTCGCAAACACGACATCCTACTGGCCTTCGGTATCTCTCGCAATATACAACTTTTTACTCATCAAATGTGCACACACTGCTTCGTTCGCGGTAAATGGTGCCTCGAGATGAAGTCACATTTTCTCTAGATATTGAATAATCTAATGTCGAGAAGCGAGCTTTTTCATTGCGTCGTATATTACAATTTACATTACCAAAAAGACACCCATTTTTGGTTATTTTAATCCACTAAGACGACATTCCACGCGGTCAACACAACAACAAGCGACGTGCATGGTTACCGATACCATAAAAATATTACACGTGACTGGCATATCAGAATTGTGATGTAACAATGAGCTCAAGACAGTTCTTTCCGTGAATGAAATTTTATATTTCATTATTTTTAAATACCAGAGTTTAGAAGCTAAATTGAAACATTGGGAAAGCTGAAAATTCTTCCTTCTCCTCTTAGATTGCCCTTGCATTGACGACCTTGTCGCGACTCATTTTTAAACCTTCCGCGACCCATGTTTGGGTCGCGACCCATACTTTAAGAACCACTGTCATATAAAGTAGTAAAAGACCAAGAGTATAAGCGACTATGGCACTTTTATGTATCGATATCTTCTCCCAGTTGGTTTTGATTTAAATGGCACTCATGTTTCGTTTGAAAGGGCTGGCAGAGCGCATTTCAGGAAAATAAACAAATCGTTGGTATCACATCTTTACTCAATTTTTTTTATTTAATTCTGAAAAATACAGCGCGGGCCACGCATGGCCCGCGGGTCAGGGGTTGGACGACCCTGTCTTAAACTTTTCCATTTTTGATAATGTTTTGTTGTTGTGCCATTTTTGTATGCAATGAACTGTTCAGTTTCCCTCACTTCATACAGATATGTGTAAAAACATTGAACAGAGGTTTCTTTTTTCCATCTTACAACGATAAAGATAAAACCGGGCAGCAAAAAGTATACAATTACACAATTTATTTTTGAAATTACTAACATATCCCAACATGAAATCTCTTTTGGGAAAATTGAAAGCTGTTTTTGTGTTCAGAGATTCCCAAAACTGTTGAACAATTATACAATCATAAAAGAGTGGCTAGTAGTTTCAACATCAGATTTACAGAAATCACGTGACTCTGATGAAACATGCTTGAATTTATACAATCTATTGTTTAGTATTATGGCACCATGAATCACTTTGTTTTTATATGTAATATCTCATTTTAATCACGGTAGCTCATCTTGTGTGATACGCCAATCAAGTCGAAAATCAACCATTAGTACATCCGAAATTAGACCCCAAATTACATCAGTGTCTATTATAACTATACCGACATGCACTTTACACGTAAAATGTTGATTTGTCGCTTTATACGCTTTCTAGAGGCAGATAGTCATGCAGTTTTATTTATTTATGTATCTTTTGGGGCGCAAGTTTGGTGTTGCAAAAAACATAACTGTAGTAATTTCAGAGCAAACGTGGCGGAGCGCCCAAGCCGCGAGAAACCCGCAATAGACCACTACCTCAAGTTTAGCAAACATAACCCTTTTTTAATACGAACATTTAGAAACAATTGGTCTAAAACGAATTGAAATTTCATGTCCCAACAACAATAGCAAATGACTTCTTCTACAATGACCTAATCGAAGCATGAGATTTTCTTGTGACTTGTATCGAAATTCACTGTAATACGAAAACCTTAAATCAGGAAAATTTCCGTATTCATTTCAAAAGAAGCAAACAATATCAGTATAAACCCCATGGGTATCAGTCACTTTTGCCGACAAATAATGTTTGTTCGGTAGCAGAAATGAATTAATTCAAAGAACTACGCCCCACTGTATATGTTTACAATAATTATAAGCTTTTGGCATTCAGTTACTTCTGCGTGGTACGTGGGCAACAATCACCTTCTATTCTGAGCGGCAGCCAACCCTAAAATTTGAAATGCGCTACCGTGATTTTCATATGGCATTTGAAATTTGAATCCTTTGTCAAAAAAATAATCTGGCCCAAGTCCTTGCAGTAAGCCCATTACTGGTGAATAAATTTAGATGGTAACTCCCACATAGGTGATGAAAATACATTCTTGTTCCAAAAATTGTATTTGAAACCAGTATTCGCAGAGCAATAATGGACGAAAGCAGACGATGCCGGTAATTATATCTCAAACGTTTGCGTTTGAGCTGTAAAAATATTACGGTATTGATGCTTCGCGAAATCCGATTCACTTCATGAGGGCTCTTCTCGTTCCGCTTTGTTGTTCTTTTGTGTGACGACGGGCCGTATAAATAGACGCTTGCTGTCGAGACTCACCTATGTGAATTTGGTCACGCGTGAAGTAAGCTTTTGGGTGATCCCGCCAATTTTATTGCTGGTTAAAAGTGACAGCAGATTAGATTTTTAACTCCGAGAAGAGCTTTTACTGCCATTTTTTCTGACCTGAAGAAATTGTTTTGTTTTAGAGATCTAAATCAGGTCGAGTGAGTCAATAAGAATCTTGTAGATTTTGATGTAACTTTTCTATGTTTGAACTTGCAGTGACTGCAACATATTTCAGAATTAATTTCAATACTCAGTCTCTATTCCGATGCCTTGGACTAGATAGTTTCACTTTTACATCGAAGCATATAGAACATTGACTCCGAAATCTACATTTTCTATTGTTAAATCAATATATGAGTGTAAATCTGATGAGGATTGAATTTCCCAAGTGCGATCAATTTTTAGACTTTAAAGAAACTTTTCATTCGACCTTTGCAAGAGCATATTTAGATGATTAGCATATATTTCGGAAATATTTAATGGAGATGTACTAAGAACATTTTATGTAGATAAAGTTCAATTGGTTCTGTTGACTTTTGACTTGTGTGGATTTCATGTTTCTCAATTGATCAAGAATCCTCTGTTTTAAAACACGGATAAAGCGTTGATTTATTATTTTAAAGTTGCAAATCGAGTGGTGTTTGAGCTATATTTGTAAAAAACTCAGGACCAATTGTATTTTAATTTCACATATGCGGTCCACTTGCTAGCTAGTTCAATTGGTAATTCATTCTATTCAGCGCCGCAATGTGAATTGTTTTTAGCATTCTAGGCTTTAAACCATGTTAAGTCAATTCATAGATATGCTACATTTGTATAAATGGGGAAAATGTAACTTTAAGCGAATGTTCCGTAATAATCTGTGCCAAAAATTCTCCTTTCCGCAAACATGTTTTATACACGACGGGCGCCATAAAGTTAGCATTACAGTCCTTTGTTCCCTATTCAACAATGAGTATGCTCACAATGTACACATTGTAAAAATCCCGCTCCTCTTTGTACGATTGCCAAAAAAGGTGATGTCATATTCACCATTTCATCTTTTTTAACACTTCTGCCCACGAACACTTACTTTATTGCGTCACAATATTTGAGTTACTATTTCCTTTGACGATTTATATCTTTTTCCGTTCCGTCACACTGTATTGCCATCGCGCGAAATTTGTTCGAGGTAAATTAATACGTCTAGTAAGATGTGGGTGGTGTATCGAAACAGTAGCGGTAGTTCCTTTTTTTGCGACAATCTTTTTCCCGAGCAGGTAGTTTGAAGCATATCAGGTATCAGGTAGATTGAAATTGAATATATATTCTAGGTAGATATACAAAATTCAAGTCAATGGGTTAAAGTAAGTTTTGAAAGCATCACATCGGCAATGACAAATCTGGTCCATAAAGCTTTCTTAACAAAGAAATACACCATACTTGAATCCCTTGAAGTAAAATTACCAAGGCCAAAACTGAAAAATTAATGTTTTATCCTTACTATACGACATCAGCATTACCACGACTTCATTGTCTGTTAAATACACAGTTTATCAACAAATGTATAGTTTGATCAGAAGAAGATGACTTTTCATTATAAAATGCCAATTTTTAAAAGTTTTTTTTCTATTTTTTATTTACATTGATTTGAATATGTTTTTGCGTTTTATATGGTTAAATTATTATAATTTCTCTTTTGTTCTGTTTCGTTACATTAACACTAATAGATAATATTGTATATCGGATATTTTCAACATGAACGGAATAATAATTTCACTTCTAATCATTGGGATATCTAAAGGTATGTTATTGTTAAAATTGTTTGTGAAAGTTAGAAGGGCGTATAAAATATATTTAATATTCAACATTTTGAAATTATGATATACAATCCATCACAACAGACCACAAGTGTTGCTGAGTATGTTTATTAGGATAAAGTTGAGTGTGTAAAGATGAGTGTGTTGTAGTTTGTTAATGTCGGACTGATAGTCAAATACAACCTGAAAAGAGACTGTTCTTGATTGGTCGCTGGTAGATAATTTGTGAAGCCAAACAATTCGCAGCATTCCATTCTATTATATTATCATCTAAATAAAGAATAGAATCAAGTAGAAAAGTATAAGCAACTGGTGTGTAAAAAGGTACAATGTATTTTAGAGGGCGGAATCTTTCCTGCAAGTAAACTATGACATTCATTACACTCTGTCTATACATGGACTTTAAACCCAAAATCTTTCACCGTCAATGCTAACATAAATTAGTCCACCAGTTTGCATAACTTAGCAAACTTATATTATTTTACATTTTGTTTAATTATAAACGATGATGCTTTTTCAGGTGCATATTCAGCCAATATTGGCAGTTGCCAAGGTGATGCTTACCGTGTGGATATTTCGTATTGCAAAACAGAATTTGTCAAACAAATGAACGGATCGTCAAATGCTTTTGGTGATTGCCCGTAAGTTATTTCGTACTTTTATGCTTTTATTCTTATCCATGAGGTATTTTTGATACCTCTTTCCATTTTTCATTTCAATACCAGTTCCATTCCAAGATGTGTTGAATTGGTTTGTTATCCATGATGAGAGAAAAAGTTGTTCTCATTTCACTAATTTGACTGATCATCTTATTCTATGTGATTAATGATTTTCCGAGCGTTAACTTCGGAACATTCTTCCTATACATTACTATTGTACTATTTTTATGTGTATTGGAAAATGTTTTCGCGAATTGACGCGTACAACTAATTTGCATGCTCAAAACCATCGTCTTTACTTAAAAAAAATTATCCAACACTCATTCAAAATCTGATGGCTAATTTTATCCTAGTCTTTTGCAGCCTTTTCTGGACTGATTCTTGTTTACTACAACTAAACCAAGACTTCTCAAAAACAATATTACCATTGAGATATTTGTTCAATTTAATTGATTTCGAAAATGCGGATAAAAACCGAAAAATAGTTGGCAAAACTTTGAAAACGAGTCAGTGTTCACAACCATGCTTAAAAATCTGCCATAGAAAAAGGGTCATTTTGGCAGATTATTTTTAAATTTTAATTGTTTAATTAACTTATCGCTGAATTATTACCGAAATAAAGAAGAAAGTCGAATCTCGGGAAAACACCCATTTGTGAGAAAACCTCGAGAGAGTACGTTAATATAGTTCTTCCCATATATTCCGCTTCCCTATTTTTAAACTTTTTTTATTGTGTTTTTGCAGTACTAACTTGTTACTTATTTTTGTTCGAAGGAGCTTTTATGCTGCCGCTCACGCTTGTTTCCACTCGACATTGACAAAATGCTTTCCAGACGGAACAGAAGAACATAACGCGGTTAGTGAATTTATTATTTTGTTTAGATTGCACTTTCTGGTGATCAATTCCAACCAAGTTGTAAAGAATTTTGCTGAATTTCAAATGAAATGTTTAAAAAAAATTACCGTGACCTGAAAAAAAATTGAAAATAAATTTATAAAAACATCGTTCCATCGATCTCTTCTTTTTTTAACTAACGTGAAGTTGAATCGATTGATGCTTCATCTCCGCATAAAATCTCTCTCTTCACAACAATTTTAATGAGAGTTGTAATTGATAATTTATTAAAAATCTCGCATTGATTATGGTAAATTTCAATTTAATTTTATGCTAACTAATTTTAAGATTAGGCAATTTATTTTGTTTTTTCCCCAACATCTTTTTAATGGTGTCAATTGCCGTATAGAATACGAGGGTGTTAGCAATTTTCTAAACTGCAATATATGTAAGGTTTTACACCACTTTATATAAGGAAATCAGCAAAATCTGATCATTTTTGAACAATTCATATGGGAGCTTAAACAAACACACCCTGGAATAATCAATCAGAGCTATGCTCAATTCTGAAAGCGCATGAAATTGCGTGTTGACAAGGGCCACACCAAATGGCATGGCGGGCCGAATTGTGGGCCGCGGGCCGCCTGTCTCACACCCCTGATTTATACGATTTAGAACTTTGTTGATAATGCGATCGGCAAGAACAAGTAAGTATTCCAAAAAAGATTTATTTGTTTTGAGTTACATCCTATAGTTTCGATACTTAAATGTCCCAAACTAGAATATCGGTTAGAAACCGAAGACTTATCGATCGAAGGTCAGGGAATCCCCCAAAACAGTGGCCTTACTCCATAGTGACACCGTGTGTCCCATCACTAATTAATTAATAACTCGCTAATTATAAGACATAATCCAATCAAAATCAATAGGCTTCTGATCCGAGCTATGATGAATGCACATGCAAAATTTGGAGGCATTCAACCTCGCTTTCGTGAGATATCGCGTGCATCTAACACACAGACATACAGACAGACAAATACCTATCAACATACTTACCGATCTTAAGATCGATAAGTAACAAGTACAAGAAAAGAATTGTGGAATTGTGGTTATTTTAAAAATTCTTAAAAATTATGAATTCAAAACTGTTTCAGACTATAGCGATACTGAAGCGCGATTTCGGAGACGAAAATTTCTTTTGTGTAGATGGATTTCTACACAGTATGAAAAATGCTATGCTGGGCATGTATCCCGAAAACTGTACCGATACGAATTTCAACAATTACACAAAATGTGAGATCCAATTTAGGACTACCTTTCGAGAAGAGTTTGAATCAGGCAGCAAGGACCTGTACAAAGTTTCCACGTAAGTAATGAACGCGTAAATAATTCATAAAATACGATTTGAGGTTGACTTATTGTTTCTAAGCAGTTTCTAATATTACGTGACAGAATTCCGATAGTAGGGTCGCAACGAACGGTACTTTCGTAGTGTGTGTACCAGGTTAGAGTTAGGCCATAATTTTATTCCGATTTTCCTTATTTTAGTTTTATTGCGAGTTCGGGGACTGTCTATGTTGGCCGAGTGAATATACCCTCTGCCCACAGGTTTCAGTCCATTTACACAACTTGATGTATAAAGTAGGTGAATAAAATTAGTTACATATTGGTACACACACTTCTGGAGCGCCCAACGAACTACTGAGGTGCCAAAAACTATATGGTAGTTCTTTCAGTCAAAATAGGTGTATAGGGATTTGGGAGTAACAAATGATGAATCTAAATTAATTTTGAAAGATTCTTCTTGCAATTATCTTGTAATATGTTAAACATGTTAATATGTTGAAGATTTTGAACTTTCAGTGACTTTCTATCATGAACAAATGTTGATAATCCTGATTTGATGGAATTTGTATAAACAGAATATAAATACTGACCATATAATATTTGTGTCAGAAAGCTTCATAGTAGAATAGGTTATTATATTTCATGTTAATTGTTATATGGAGTTAATGACACAATTGCATACGTATATAATAGATGATTTTTTGTAATTATTCAGAAAATTCTCCGAAGCAGACCTGTGTCAGCGAGAAACAGCAACATCATGTAGAGTACCGATTTCTTACTATGAGTTCTACGAATATGATTTTAATCCTTTTGATCCAGAAGTTATTCAAAGTATGTACAGTGTTAGTAGAGATTATATTATATATAAAAATATCAAAACCCAAAACATAATGAAACTACACTTGAAATTTCTTTCTGTTTCTGTTTTTATTGTTCTTTACAAATTTTCAGTCAAACTTTTTTTCAAAAATGCACAATGACAAATGTCCACCGAATATGTTTTTTCAAATTTAAATATCTCGCAAACACGTATGAGTTACGAATCACAAGTATTTCACGTTTTCTTTCAGGAATTGCAGATGCAGAGAACAAGATTATCCAAGGGGAAGATTTTCGTCAAAATGATACCACGTTAATAACGGTTGTCGTGGTAGCGCTCATTCTGCTCCTTATTCTCTGTGTCATCTTCTTCTTTTTGGTAGGGGAGCGTATGTTTTTTGTGTCATATATACTTGTTTTTCAACTTGGACTCATCTAACCACCAGGGAGATCTGATTTTGGGATTGAAAAACTTAGGGCGAATAGGAAAAAATTGTTGCAGTTGATGCAGCAATATTGACTTAAAAATAGGCCGTGCTGATGCCGACATAAATAATGCCAATCCATAGTTAATTTCTATTTTTACTTTCCGAATAACAGTGGTTAAACGCGATATTGAAATATTGGTGTCAGAACACTTACACTATTTATTCATTTCACTGTTGTTTATGAACTCTTCTCGGACTCAACTTGTGATCCAAAAGAAAAAATTTGTGCGCAGTAAGTTGAATTGACTTGGGATGCTAATGACCCGTGTCTCGACGTTGCTCGCGACTCGGGGTTAGGTTGCAATCCATAGCAGTAACTTATAATCAAATTTCACAAACATTGCTTCGCAAAACCGTCGTTCTTTTTTCTGTGATATGATATTCGCCAAGAATAGCGGGCTCAACAATAATATAATATAAGTATATAAATTAATACTTTCTTTTCAGTGGCGACGTGATAAAAGCAGGGCAGAAATCAGACGCAGAAAATCAATGGAAAGAAGGAAGAAGCCAGGAAACGCTGAACCTCCTGCTGGTGATAACGAAATGGAGCCTTTACATTCTGGATCAGCTGTTCAAACAACTTCAGACCAAGTTTCTTCCGCCTAACTTGTACTATGCAAATTGCTCTGAACAATCTATATATATACTAAAATATATTGTGACTGTTTTAAACAGCAACGAAAATATTTGAGATCAAGTTATGATAACTGGACATGGAGCGCACCTGTGGATTTTTATGCTAAATTGTTGTTTTGTTGCTGTGCTGGTAAAAAATCGCCTTCCTCCTAAAGTAATCGATTTTAAATTTCAGTACTTAAAAATAGAAGAAGTCTTTGGAAGGATATTACTTTGATTTTCTCTGCATCCTTTGGGCCGATATTAAACCAAAATTTTATTTTCATATAGGCACACATTCACATGACATTCGGTACAATCATTTTAACATTATTAAGTCAAAATATTGGCATTTGTGTCAATATGTAAACGATATGTAAATGTAAACGCTTTAACAACTAAACTTATATAAATTTGCCAGTGACTTAGAAATTGTTTGAAAAAGATTTTTTTTATAAACAAAATGTTGTTTTATTATTGGCACTAGATTATGAAACGATATATATTGAGTGACCCCCAAATTCACCCATCATAATTTCTTCAATCAGTTATAAATTTCCACGTTTTTGTGATTTTCTGTATATTTTTATTTTATTCATATTGTTCAATATTGCTAAAACCCACTTTTTTAAAATCTGTTAAGTGCTAAGGTAAAAAAGATAGGAACACGAGTCTACCACTAATAAGGTAAAAACCTGCGTAGACTATGCCGTACCAGAAATGTTCCAATTTTAAAAATCTAACATATCTACCCGCGAGGCCTGTAATCTCTGCTTGTCCAAAACCCCATAAGGAGATAGGATTTTTAATGTAGTAAATTACGAGGCGAAAATTTCAATATTTTCTGAGATTTCCTTTTTACACTACTTAGCACATATACAACATGTATATTACAATTTCATATTTTTGTTATTATACAACAAGGTTTTGCACCTTTATTGCTTATTATTTTGTTTTGCGTAGTGAATATTTTGTAAAATATAATCAATTTGGAAATAAGTTTGAAATAAAATTTTAGCCTTTTAGGTGTATACTTTTTGTCATAATTTCTTTTAGCTATGTATAATGTGTTTACGATGCAAGATAATAATTTACGATGTTACCAAAATGAATAGTTAACAATGCTAACAAACATTTCAAAAACCATCCTTGGAGAGTCAGAAAAATCCGAAGAATGCAAAAAGATGAAAAAAACAACGATATGCATTTGACTACATCATTTCAAGTTCATTTCCAGATGATATTCCATTGTGTAATTCCATAACGTTGCATGTCAAATTAATTTGAATTGTAATTAATATATAATAATTAGTTAAGGTAGAGATATGGCAATGCTGGATAAATGTGAAATTACATTAGTTATTTTGTAGGTATGGTCATTAAACTTTTTTAAGATGCATTTTTGTGCATAAATTTTACCATTATCTTATGTATGTGAATCAACTTTTACAATTAGGAAGCATAATGGATCAAATAAAAAAGCCTATCTGGTATATATGTGTTTTTACTTTTCAGTATTTTATTTCGAAATATGAGACTTTCTTTTGAGGGCGTAGGGTAATCATTGACCCCAGGCTTTTTGAAACAAGTCTAAAAATATGATAATATACAAATTATACAAAAAATCACAAAATTAAGAAAGCATCTTAATGTAGGTCAGGGTTAGTGTTGGATTTTGGGTACTCCCAAAGTATGTGCACCAAGACGGCGGACACCGGAACTTAGTATGTGTATTAGGTTAGAGTTAGGCCATAATTTTATTCCAATTTTTTCTATTTTAGTTCTATTACGAGTTGGGAGACTAGCCAAGCGACTCCCGTAGTATTTGTACCTGAAAGTATGGCCTAACCCAAATTGGTAAACCATCTTGGTGAACCATCATGGTTCACATACTTTGGGAGTACCGGATTTCGTCTCATTGAAAACTGTGCCATTACTTCTCCGTTGATTTGAAAATTTTGGGGGAGGTGTTTCGTCCGCCTTTGGGTCCACAATGTAATATTTTCTTCTCATTTACGGTCCGATCTTATGTTAATCATTTCGCTGTTCCAGTTCTAATATTTTCGACCAAATGCAGCTACGAATAAAATATTTTCACAGAAATTACGTTACAGCCTATGTCGTAAGCCGGTTTTTGTTGATTTTATGACGTCATATTTTGTATTTCCTTCTGGCGAAAACCCACTGTGATATCATGTTGATTTTTTTAAACTATTGTGACGTAATGATGAATTCTATAAACTGCATCATGACATTTGCATTACTCGGGAAGACGTCGTCAAAGACGTCGCTGGTGCTTCAATCAAAAATAATTCGTTCCTAATTTGTATTTCAAATGAAAAATATTAGTTTATACTCTCATTTAAAGTTTTTACAACAGTCAATTACGCGTGGAAACACAGAAAATAGGAATAAAACATTGATAAAATACGATACTTTAAAGAGATGTCAAGGTGTTTCAGAACAAAAATATTTCCTATAGATTATTTCTAGATAGTAAATCTGACTGAAAAAAACGTAAAGAAAAACAAAAAAAAATCATAAAGAGCGTTCGGAAAAATATCAGCCAGCAAATGACTTTCCTTCGAGTTATCCGCGATATAATCACGATATGGGATTGGAATTTTCATTCAAAATACAGGAGATTCATTCTAATTCCAAAAAGTATTAGTAGCATGTGGCAAATTGATGAATACATGTCTCTTTTTCTGATTAATGTAGGTCATCCATCAACAACCTTAATTGATTTGTTTTCTTGATCGATTCCTTCTTTTCCTTCTCTTCCTGAAGCAAGTTATTCAAAAGTTTTCATCCCAGCCTGAATTTTCCGAAGGAACTTTTTCATTGACTCTTTCAAATTTGTCAAAATTCTGTGTGTCAACTGCACTGCTTATAATAGGAATGTATTCTGCTTGTAAGCTTCCGCGTTGTAATCCTTTCCAGTCAAACCCCTGGGGAAGAATATAAATTTGTATGCAATTCAGCATGAAGAAAACGACACAAGTTGGTGTAAAAATGTTGGTTCGTGACACAGCTGACAGTCAAATATTTAAAAGAAAGTAATGTTTAAATATATGGACACGAATGTCCAATTACCAACTACTTTACCGGTAGCCTATAGTGGTCACGCTTGATAAATTAAAAATCGATTGATCATTTAATATCATAAACCAGCGAAATTTTAAATAAAATATGAATCTCAGGGTTCAGAGTGAAATTGAAGAAATATGATTAATAAGCTACTGACGACTTCCTTTCAAGTACTTGATTCGTTCATTAGTTACAAAAAAAAAAAAATTTCCGCAACAAAAAGTTGCCCAGACAACAAGAATAGCAACAACAACAACAACAACAATTTAACAAAACGTGTCCATGTATCTGAAAACAAATGACTGAATAACTAATCCCATACCCGACATGGACTGGTATCCGGACGTGAGGTCGTGATTCGCCGTTTCGAAAATTTGAACTTGATCATATTTTGTATTATTAGAAAAGCAAAGATGGTAATTATGTTTTGGTATTAGGAAAGTGATAATTTGTTTGATTCCTACCGTGAACCATTTATGATTACGAATATCGTCTATTCCTTTTCGAAAGTTTCCGAGTCTTTCAGTTGGTTTCTCTCTGCAAAGTCTCTTGATCATGTTTTGGGCGGGTTTTTTGATATGAAGCTGAAATTTAAAGAATAAAATATTCACACAAAATTTCTAATAAAAAATTTAAATCGAAAAATGGTTGATTTTTGGAAATAATAAATAAGATTAATTAAGAGTTAGCATTAAATATTTCGACGGTTGATAAATTCTGGTGAACGGTGGAACATAGAATTTTGTTTGATTGCCAGAGAGTCATTTTCTGTTGATTGATAGCTAGGTATTTGGTTCTAGTAGCCTCTCAATTAGGGGGTCTTCATCAAGAGGGGTCTAATACATAGAAGGGTTCGCTAACTGCAATGACACCCAACCACGGGTTTGCGCGAACATCCGTGATTCCTCCCACTGCCTATGAGAAATAGAAATGAAAGTATGAGTATGAGAAATATCAACAGACGAGCCATACCTATATAGGCTGGTAACAGTAAAAGAGAGCAAGTAGTTCATTCTATTCTTTGATTATGCCGTTTTGATATGGTTACTGTTTATTGATTGCAACTCTGCTAATACTTTCACAAAATATCTCAAAAAAAAAAATTTAATTGCACTCACGGGGAATTCGACGGCGTCAATTCCTCGAAGTGCCATTCTATAGGTTCTCATGGCATCAGCAGAATTGAATGGTGGATTTCCCGCCAAAAATTCAAACACCAAAATGCCAAGTGCCCAATAGTCAGCTGACACGTCATGTCCCTGCAAAACAAATAAAAGAGATCGTTGAATACAAGATATACCCAGCCTTTCTATAGTTTTAAATTAGGAATAAATTTTCATTTTACAACTTTTATAATTCACGAAAAGGAACCTAATACAGTAATTAGGTTGTTATAAAATATTTTTTATGTGAAACGAACCTGATTTAAAATAATTTCTGGAGCTACGTATTCTGGAGTTCCACAAAACGTCCATGTTCTTTCGCCAGGTTGTATCATTTTTGCAAATCCAAAGTCCACAACTTTAACGTATCCATTTTTATCCAAAAGTAAGTTTTCAGGCTAAAAAGAGTAAAAATTATTCAGTTTTCGAAGTACAAAGTACAATACCGTATAGTATAAAATTGAAGAATAAAACTTGTTTTAGTCGTTTATCAATTTTTGATCCGCAATCATTATACCATGCATATATACGGAAAGAATTTATAAAAGATTGGGAGTCTAGTATCGAAGTCCGGCATTTTGCTGTTGTTGGAATAGTATCTGCTTTGGTTGAAAACTTACCGGATTCAGAAAGTCAATTATAAAGTATCCAGATTCGAGAGTCGGGTTAGAATTTTAAAAGTACCAAAATAGCGAGTAGGATCACTGAAACAGGATAATAGATCTTGTCAGCGCTAACGTTGTATAAGCCTGTATTTGGAATCTTGGAGTTTAAGCTATTTTTCAATCCGGAGTCGAGATCCGGATCCGGATGTGCGATGATTCGATGAAATAAGCTGATATGATAATGATATAATAATCACCTTCAAATCTCTGTAGACAATTCCCTTCTGGTGTAAATAATCGAGAGCTTCTACGACACAGGCTGTGTAAAACTTTGCTCGACTATCCGGAAATTTTGTTTCATCCCTCAATCGAGTCCACAATTCACCTCCTAAGCAAGCTTCCATCAGCATATATACGTATCTGTGAAAATTCAATATTATATGAAATAATTTAGAAATAATAAAAATTCATTTTACTCGAAACAAAATCGTGACTCATTAGTATACACTGAGTTATATTTGTGTGATAAATGAATAACAGTGGCAACTACCAGACAAAATGCTTGATAAAACATTTTGATTTAGATTCGATAGCAGAATTCCACCGTTTCTGTGCTATCAGATTAACTGGCTGCAGCACCGCTTCTCAACTCCCGAAAAACAAAAATCTTGACTACGAAACCGATTGAAGATATTTGACTCAACTACAGTATAGAATTACCAAATTTTAAATCCAAAAACTGCGTCATTCGTCATACCTTTTGGCCGAAATCGAAATTTCAAATTAAAGTCTTCACTTGAGATGTAAGAATATGATTGCAAACAGCAGAAGCAACAAACTCTAGTTCATTATCCCGACTACACGACACGATTTAAATACTTTTAAATCATAGTAAATTTTACCGCTCATTTTTGAAAGTTCTATAAAGTCGAACGATAAATGATGAATGGCATTGCATCATTATATTTTTCTCCGAATAGACATGTTCTTCTTGCTTTGTTTCAACAATATGAGACTGAAAAATAATATTAAAAATAAAATATATAAAAATTCATGTGAAATTTGATCTCGTGTAGTAAATGCCGACAAAGTCCATCTCTAAACATGTGGAAAAGTGGATTAAAAACATAGTTTTGAATCAATTTTTGTCCAGTAGCTAGGCAACAGCATCACGTGTGCTACGTAGCAACGATTTCTTCCTATCTAACTAAACTGCGGTGTCTGAATGGTCGTGTGTACATAGCCTTGGTACAGACAATCGTAAAATAATGGTAATCACGTTTGTTTATTATTGGTTTTAATAACGTATAATTTCGGAAATCATGGACATAAAGTAGAAGTAGTCTTGATGGGGCGCTTGGATGAAAAAATATTGCTTAAATTTTCCTCAACTGTTAATATCGTTTAAGTTTCGTAAATTTACAAAGGTTGGAAGGTGATATTTCCTGTCGAATATATTTGAGAAATTTTATTCAATTTATTTCTCGAGTTTACAATCACATTGCCAGACTCATAACAACGAAATTGTTTTTTTAGGGTCTACATGTAGTTACATATATATAATAGTTTAAGTATTGGCCATTGCAAACATCTCCAGCTAAACAAATTGATGATAGATAGTTTAAACTGTTACCTTTTTCATGCATTTCAGTGCATAACTGGTGTCCCTGTTATCCAAACACACAAGTTCCACTTTTCCGAACCCTCCCTGGCCAAGAACTGCAATAGATTCAAATTGTTTCAACGATACATCCTGCAATAATTGCCGGGACGTGGTGGAAGGTCGTTCCGTAACGGGAGCCAACTTTGCAATTGGTAATGGCGAAGGGCGAGGACTTTTTGCTGCCAAAGTTATGGAAGATCTGCCTGGCTCTGGCCAATATACTTTAGCATCGTCACCGATTAGTTTGATAAAATTTTCTTGGTCAAGAGTGAGACAGATAACTTTGTTTGATTTTGCGATAACATTTGCCGTTCGTGTATCGCCGCCCTTGAGAAGAGCTTTCTCTCCGAAATAACTGCCTTTCACTAGAGTTCTTATCCACGTTCCATGAGCATCTGATGACGACTCTTGCGCGATAGTTATGTCTACTTCGCCTTCTTTTATTATATAAAATGTTTCGCCAATTTCTCCTTGCCTCAAGATAAAATCGCCTCGTTCGTATTCTTCTGTAGTGACGGCGTCCGAAATTTTAAGAAATTTTTTCGGGCCGAGATCTTTGAGTGGAGTGTTCTTGACAAGCTAAAAAAAAGAATTTACATTAGGATAGGTTTAGTTATTGGACACGTTTATTGGACACGTTTAGTGGTCATAACGATCGTTTTGTTGTTATGTTGTTGTTGTTGTTGTTGTTAAAGATGAAAATTTTCTTCAGAAGGCTATTGCTTTTATTTATTTCAAATATTTCTGTTAGCTCTGTGAGATTTGTTTTTGTTTGCTATGACGTCACTGAACGTTCTACGGACATCGGACGCCATTTTGTGTCAAACTGTACTGCTTCGCTTGGTGTGAATATATCTGTAGACTGTGATGTGACGGAACGGTATACCGTACTGTACTGCGAACAGACGTGCCCATATATTTGAGCGTAGCTCTCTTGTGTTGTTCTTGTTGTTAATATAAATACGGGAAGGTGGGGTAAAGCCTAACCTAATGTAATGGTGTCAGAGAATATAGGAAAATATATACAGAAAGATATCAATTAGAAGCCACCACAGCTACTGGAAATGTTCGAGCAATTTGTCATGTTGTTTAACGAAAAAAATATATACCATTCACCTCTTGCAGAGCACCATATTGTGACTCCCAATCTTTTCTTCTAATTGATTGATAAACTTGTCTTTCTAGATACCACGCCTTGACTGGTTTTGTAGCTTTGATAGTTGCTGTTCGCTTACAACCATACAAAATTGCAAGTTCGCCGAAAACTGTTCCAGGATTCATAGTGTTGATATGCTTCCCATTCTGATATTGAAGCAAGTAAAAATTGTTCATTAAAAGTCCAGTAAAAATTCATGTACATGAAAGTCGGTCATCACACTTAACTAGGAATAACGAAGTGTAATAAAAAGACACCTTTCCCAATTCCCAATGCGAAATTAATGGAGCTAGAAGACCAGGACATATTTATGATGTTTTTTTACCGGTAAAATTAATTGTGCATTGAATATTATGTTGTTAAATTTAACTGCAATAGTGAAAGAGGTATGTTTATTAAATTAGTTGATATCATTAACTATATTTGATCTCTAAAATGCTGATCGTGTAAAATGGTTCTGATTTCATGCGAAAATAAACATTACGATTAATTGGTACGTAAAATATGCACTGCTAACAAATTCCAAAAGTTATTGTGCTATTCGCGCTACATTTTTTGTTGATACCAAGTTCGACCAAATGGGATACATAAAATTCATGCTTGATATTTATTATAAGCAAATGCATATTAAATTTTTGTTACTGTAAAATTTCCAATAAATTCTATTATTTTTTTCATCTGTGTTGATTTATTGGTGGGTTCACCACTATTGCGTGTTTTGACATTAATTAGGGTGACTAGTTTTATGACAGTTTCGTTTGTCTTACAAACGGTGAACGACCGTGGGGAAATGATTTTTTTTAATTATTAACTGAAAAAGTCTGGGCTGTGTTGAATTTAGGTTTTTCGGAACTAGACGTTGCATAATACTCGGTGATACTTTGCGGCCAATTTATTTACCTCATCAAATAGGATTTATAGCTTAATTACAAAGTTCCTAGAATCTCATAAACCAAGTTTAAGTAATGTTTGTTCTCAAAAATTAATCGTTGTGCGCAAATATTCATTTTCCTTATTCAACAGTGAATCGGTGTGTTCTCTTTATTTAGATTTTTTAATTTTGTATTAGACTGTGAATTGTTTCTCTTCTGAGCTGCCAAACAAAACTGAGAGAAACCACTGAGTATGATAGATCTATGCAGAAATTGCGAAGTATAACTTCAAATAATATTTGGTTCACAATTTAGTAAGTTACCCTGAAAAAACAAGAATTTTCTGAAAATCAAAGTTTCATTCATGAAACATGTGTGTTTTAACATATGTCTGAATTAAAAAATCCGAAATTGAATATAATAGATATCCTATTGTTTGCTTATTTATTATATATGACTCGCTTATGAAAAGGCCGCAAGGTGACTTGGACACTTGAAAATGAATAAACACTTAAATATCTAAAATTCGGTCAAAGTTCAAAGTAGCTCCCACAAATGAATTAATAAGGTTCTAGTGTTTAGTGAAATACACTGTATTACATAATAATATTAAAATAAATCTATCTAATCATTGATATGGATTGGTCTCACGCTTAAAAAGCATGCAAGCACGCCCTCTCCGTTTGACATTTCGGGAAATTTTGTTTTTTTTTGTGATTACATGAGCAAATAAAAAGTTGGCCTCCGACGACCTGAAGTATTTAATTTAGTCGTTTCAACGAGCTGTTTTTTTCCTGAGTCACAAGTAACGTTTACTTTATAATTGCGTCATTATTAGCCTGTAGTCTAATTTTTAGAATCCAGTATGCTTCGAAAGCGAAATATTTATACTAGGTCCAAAGGTCGTTTTCAAGTTGGAAAACCATTCCTGGGAATCTCTGTATAAATTTTGTTTGTTTTGAGCACATACACGAGCGGGATATTCTAGCTTGAAATGGTGCAACAATCAGCGAATCGAGAAAATAATACGGTACTATTCGAATGGAAAATTGTGTTTCACATTGTTTATTGAAAATTTATGATTTCCCTTACTTAAAAATACGAAGTCAAGTAATCTTAGTAAGAACTTTGTAAGATTGCTTAAAATTGAAATGTGTGTCACTCACTCATCCTACTAACAGGTTAAATTTACCTGTGTTACATCACATGTTCCGATCTGAATTATATAAAATCGGTCTCCGTACATTCCTTCCTTTATTATTACTTTATTTTGAGGAAACGCCTCATACTGCATGTAATCGACCATTTCCTGCTTTTGTCTTTCATCAGAACGTTTCAGAAGATCATTAGATGCGATTGCCTGAAATAGAGAAACAAATATATTACAAAAGAGCAGACTGAAGTAATTTAATGCTGTATGAAAAACAGTCAAGGTCAGCAGCATCTGGGTTATCCGATCCAACAAAATTTGACAATTCAACAAAATTTATATGCTTTTTTTACCTGTTTTTAGGAACATTATCTGTTTTCATTAAAAAAATATTACTCTTTTATTTTTTAAAGTACTTGCACCTGCGAGTGGTAGAATGACGCAATCTGATATGTAAATTTACTACATTTGTCTTTCCACGATTCTTTCCGCAAAGATAATGAATAACGATGGAAATATTAATTAGACACAAAAATGAATAAATCAATTTGTATCAAATTACTTATCGGTAAATTGAAAGTAAGTCAAAGCAATTTGGATGAGATTGATATTTATTGTATTGAATTTAAATGACATTGTTTGAATAACTGCATTTCTATTTGACTTTTGTTTTAATATTTTTCTATTACGTAATTGAGCACTCACGAGAGAACGATGCTTAAATATATGGACACGAAAGTCAAATGACTAATATGGCCACTGCAATCTCATAAAATGTTCGACCAACGGCTCCAAGAATTGTACCTAATGTCATATTAAATAACACGGAAGGATGAGGCCGTGATATATGAAAACCAGCGAAATGAGAGTAAAAGGCCAGGCCCCGTAGGACTGAAACGGCTAATCTTCTGGCTTTTTCCTCCATCTTCAGTTCAAAATCTGTAGGTCCATTGGTTGCCGAGACGACACGAAAATAGTTTTGCAATACGATTCATTGATCCAATTTTTGTTCGGAAAAGGGCGCATTGACTAAATTGTCTAGTCTATTGACGAGGTTGAATTTTATCACATTAACAGAATAGCAGCAAGTCTAAAAATTAGACTGGAAATCGAAAGAATTGAATAAATCAATATATAAGGTATCAAAATACTTACATCCAATAAAAACTTTCTGTCATTCAGATTTTTTTCAACTTTTACAGCTTTCACGTTATCATTTTTCACCGTGTTGCCTCCAACACCGGGACGATGACGCCTTTGAGGTCGTTTTTCTACAGGCGGCATCTAAGAGAAACGAATAAAATTGGTTATTGACAATCTTTAATCATTATTTTAAGTTTCCCGTCGTCATGGTTTCGTAAGGCTTGATCTCGAGACATTTATGGCATGTTAATGCAAATGAATGAACAAAATTTATCAGTGTATTAATTTAAAACAGCTGTAATTTAAACAAATTTGAATAAAAAAAAAAAAATTCCAACATGAGTTTCTGATATGAAAATTTATAAGGACAATGACTTTAGGTAAACCGGGCATTGAGATTGTATTCAAAGTAGTAATCTAACCTAACCATATAAGAAGAGTCAACTTACAACATCTATAAAAGTTCCCTCCATTTGTTTGATTTTCTTGTCTTTTTCTTGCAATTTTTCTCCCCATTCTTTCTCTTTTCGTTGGAAATTTTTATCGTTTATCTAGAAACATAAGAAAAATATAAATTTCTCCGAATGCTAACGCGCTAACGCGAGTTTATTTCGGCGCTGAATTTTAAAAGCAGTGCAAATTATTGCATGTAATTTGCGCCGTGTCGTCGTAAATGTATTTGTGTCTTCACGGCAGAAAGAGTAAAGCAGAGAGTTATGTATTGTCATTCGATTTCATATAAATATAAACATGATTTATATCATTACATCTATAGCATTGAAACATTTAGTTATTAGTTTCAACTCCAGTATTATGTGCACCAAGATGGCGCACAACCTGAACATAGTATGTGCATACCAGGTTAGGGTTCAGGTTGTGAGCCATCTTGGTGCACATACTTCGGGAGCGCCCAAATATGTACTGTTACGGCCGCAGACTCGATGTAGTCCGATATTGTTTTGTATTTAGCGACAGTTGAAAATATATGATAAATTATTTGATGATAAACGATTCCGCATTCCAGTGATGTTCGTATTTAAAGATTTTAAAATTAAATCATATATATGTATTGAAAATTGAAACAACTTAAATTATTTTTGAATCAAGCCCCAAAATTAATTATCGATTATAACAATGAATAGTTACGGTAAATAAAACATAAAATTAATTAAAAATAATCATTAAGTACAAAAATCAATTAGAGGGAATTAAACAGCACACTGATTCGCATTTCACTCAGTGAAATCATACGTCAAGTTTCTCTTCCAGAGCTTTTACGCTGTTATTCAACTCTAATATCTCATCATCTTTTGAACTCAAATTCGTTTTGAGCTCACTTTCTGATTCCGATTTTTCCTGGATAAAATTTAATTTGTGAATATTTTCTGCCGTGGCTTAAAATTACAATAAGTTCATGAGTAAAAAGCAGTGTTTGGTGTTTGTTTGACAAATGCTTAGTAACGCAAAATGTTAACCTTATATCCGAAGATCGCTCCGAAAGCAGTGTTTATTTTTACGATAAGGATGTTTAAGTTAGTCATGTAGTCGGAATTATTTATCAGCTCCAATGCATCAATTCTGTGCAGCTGTATTCTGCGGGACCAAACAAAATCAACTTATGATATAAATTGTCCCAGATTAGGTATGACATTGTATATTATTTTAATTAACCCGTCGTTGTGATGGTGAGAGAGCGCATGCGATGCTAGTTCAATACAAATTCCCGCGTAGTTCATTCGAGGTTTCTTCTCTATATATGCGTGATTACGGTGGCGTAGTGGCTGACATTAACTAGTCAGCAAAATTTCGAATGTGACGCAACAATTGAACTTTTAGCAGCCGTTCAAACAACTTTTTAGCCGTTCAAACACCCAGAGGGATTTTTGAGCATGACAGAAACGTTAGATTCATTTTGTGACGTTTCAGTTTAGTTACAGAATCAACAGTTATTCTTTAAAAAGCCGAGATAGAATATCCTAAAATTAGCTACCGGTACGTTTAATAGCAGGTAAGCAGATACGTTGAATCAAAATGATGGTTAAGAACATGTAAACTAGTTTGTACATTTCAAACCACGAAAACATGGCTGTAATAAACATCAAACTTTTTTCGGATCTTTTGTAGAAAGCCCCCGACACTAATGCAAAATTGTGAGATTTGGGAAAACGACACCGCTATGTTTTTAAATAACAAATTAGTAATTATCTAGTTGAGGTTCAAAATGATTTGACAATTTCCAACGCAATCTGCAACCCAAACACTAGCCGGATAATTACTAATTTTCTTGTTTTAAGCGTTGGCGGGGGTGTTGTACAAAAAATCCCATTTTGAAATGGTTAATTGTAGAAATATTTCTGGGGTCAAGGCTCGGGCCAACATCTGTTTACTTCGAATATTTGCCAAGTTTATTCACTCATATTTTAAACTTATTCTACGAATGTAATTCATTTCAGTCAACTAATATTGACTGCAATCAATCATCAGTCTTAAGGCCTTGTTGGAAGTTCAAACAAGAATAAGGTCTCTCATGACGATGCTATTTTGTTAAATATTTATTCAGCAAACCAACGCCCAAAATTAGCCGAATTTTGCAAACAAATATATGAGAAATCGATAGATTTGGGTATTAATCAAATACTACAATTTATTACCAACAAATATTAAGAAAATGTTGCTCATTTTTTAAGAGAAAATTGTAATGGTAACATTTTATGCGTGTATAAATAATTATATATAGTGTTGATTAGCCTATATTGTTGTGAGCATGTCCCATTGCCGGTTATGTCAAGCATAGTGCTAACGATCTGTGATCTATGTAATGTACAGGACATATAAGAACCAACATATGGCAATATTTAATCTGACATTAAAATTTGTGCACTAAAGAAGACTGATATAAATAAAATCTGTATAAAGTGGTTTTATCCTAATTATAACGAGTTGTGTTGAATTTAGCCAAAGCCAATAAATCCTGTTTTGCTAGCGAAAGAATTCATTGTATGCTGGATCTATGTAATTTTATTGACAAAATGTCTCAGACAATTACTCAAACCACTGCAAATTTCAACACAAAGATATACGGTAGTGAACGCGCTGCATCAACGTGTTATATAGGCTCTGATGCAAGATAAACCAAATCTATAAGGTCAAGTAAATTCCAGGTCCGTGGAGGATTCCAACTGACAAGGTTCTCAAAATACAACAATCAACGGTGTTATGCGACGTATTGGCGAGGCCAAATTTTTTGTTCTGTACGGCACCCATTTTCGTTGATGTAGTAATGCTAATTACTACAGATGTACCGATATCACTATAAAAGTTGTCTGCGAACTATTTCTACAGTGAACAGTATTTCAGATTGAATAACCAACGTTTTATTAAAATACGTGAAGTAATCACATCGTTGACTGCTTTATATTATGAAAGTTTGGATCCCAACACTTTCAATAATTAATCCATACAACTAAATAAAATAACTAGCTAATTATTCCCATACCTGACATGTACTGATAATCGGACGAGAGGCTGTAGTACGCCCATGGTTAAGCCGTATTATCGGCTTCGAGGCGCGAGGAGTGAGGAGTTGCGCAACGGAAAATTCAATATGATGTCCGATAGATATTTTGTCATGTTTACCATTTATTATTGAAAATGTGAACAAAAAACTTCGGCAGCTAAAATAGTCAAATAAGTTGAAATGAATTGGTAGCTAACAGCAGGACAAATCAAGGTAAAATCTTCATAACCTATCAAATTGTCAAATTAAAGATATAAATGGTAATACCTTGATTTCAAAAACAGTAAGAAGTTCAAATTGTAATAAAACGTCATGATCCGTTATCGACATACGTATACTAACTTATCTGCTTGAACAATTCTAAATCAGATTGAAGTGCTAAATATATCGGCCTATTTTAATCGATACTGATATCGAAAAATTACCGATACATCGGGACATTTCTATAGTGAGTACACGTAGTGGGTGCGGCCTTACAACTTTTCCATATATATATATATATCATGCTCGACCCCCATCTGACTACAACACTACATCATCTAAAATTACTTCACAATCGGTATAAAAAGGTCAAACAGAACTGACTTTAAAATTTCTTATTCCCTATCTTGTGTTTTTATAATATTCAAGCACTGAAAATTAAACGTGAATTTTACTTAAGCTTTGAATTTTTCTTTTCTCAACTTACTCGAAATTCTTGTTGGAGTGCAGTAAGATTTTTACTTAGTTCTGCACATTTTTCTTGCATTGATTCCAGTTCAACTTGTTTCTGATTCAGTTTTTCTTCGAGCTCCCTAATTTCTTCTGGGTAGTTCTTGTAAGATTCTTGTCCCTTTCCATCTGCTTTGTTTTTCGGACAGCAACATAGTAGAAACGACATTTTTTCCTGTGTTCAAAGCAATAATGTGTAGCCAAATATAAATTGTACTATCCTAAAATTGATTCATCTGTGAATAACCAACATTAATTAATATACACGAATAATAATTTATCAAATATAGAAAAATTATTCTTTTTGTTTTATGTTTCAATATTATTAAATTCTTGAATGAAACATCTTCTGTATTGCTCTGACTCATTCCGAATATGAGAACATGTCGTAACTCTAATAAAATGACCTTAAAAGCTACTTAAACTTGTCACTCTTATCTTTCATTGACGTTACTAATCTTCAAGGCCATGGGCCTATTACAAAGGATGTAATAACATTTGAATATGACGGCAAACAATCGCTAACTATGTAAGCTACATTCCCTACCAACATAAAATTCAATATGAATCAGGGTAAACAATGATGTGAGTAGATACTCGACGACATGAGTCTGATATTCGTTACACATTTACTTGTCGCCAACGCGAAGAATGATTAGCACGGCTATCACTGTATTTAACTATAAATAAAAACAAAAATCATACGTGCATTTTATAGTTATAAATTTGATCGATTTTTATAAACACACTTTATAAATTATTTTAAAGATAGAGTATTTTTGGTGGCAAACACATGATATTATTTTGTTTGTTTTAAATAGATAATACTTAACGTGCAATAATTGGACGATATCAGTGATATTACTGATGCTTTTTAAAACGTAGACGTGCCTTATTGTCTTTAATGTAATTTCCAGAAATCGAATTCGCCGTCGTAAAGTTATTCGACAATATTAACAGTTGGTATATATATAAATGAATCATTTTTTCTCTCTCATTGCTCAGTTGAACCAACATTAAAAGCACATCCTCCTGGATACAGGTAATATTATGCTGCTAACAGTTGCCTCTTCCATAAAAAAATGTTACAGCAAATTTCGGATTACCCTGCTTTCGCGCTAATTTTCTGATAAGTTTTTATTCTTTCTATTTCAAGCTGAGCAAGAATACGTCAGGTTAGGTTATTGTTCCACCTTTCTCTGCTTATCTCAGAAAAAGGTGGGGCCATAATGTAACCTTAGGTGAAGATAGCTATGGAGCAATACCCATATTTTCATTTCAGAATTCGTTACATTAGAATTCGTTCCTGATTCTTGACACTATATATTCTTTCCTACAAGACACTGAGATTGAAATATTCATTATGAAAATGTCATTTTTAGCTATACAAAAGACAATATTTCGGTCATCCCCGCTGTTTTTGAAAAAAAGTAAGCGCAAGCTTTGTTTAAATATGTTTGTCACCTCTGTCAAAACTGAATTTATAATATCACTCAAACCAGATTCATTGTTTCATAAAACAAAAATAACGTTATTTACGCAGCTTGGTCTTTATTAGTAAAAAACAGGTTTCATCTCAACACTCAGACAAACACTAAAACAGACGAACAAACTTTCACCTTCTATCCCTTCACCACCTTATGCAAATTTCAATAACACCTCGTTAAAATTGGATTTGGATAATTAAGTATTTTCCCTCGAGAAATATATTTAGTCACCCCATTCGATAGAAATAATAACAATACATCCTTCATTATTCAAACTAAGTCAAATCAATACGTCATCTTGCCCTGCTACAGCACATTGTCTCATCTCCCGAGAACGCCACTTGAAGCGTAATTTTGCACGTACCATTATTGTTAAGGTTTTATGATAAATGATTTATTCATTCTCGTTTTTCAGTTCTCCATTTTTAACATATTGACTATTCTACAAGTCATACAGCCAAACTGAACTTAGTAGAACTAAATTGGGTGTGTAGGGTCAGTTTCCAGAGACAAACATAAAATCAAGCAACTATCCACGTTGTTGCATTACATTACATAATCTTTGCTACCTAAGCAGATATGATTTTTCATTTATTACGTTATAAAGGCGGTGTTTACTAAATGCCGAGACAAGTATACACGATTGTACACTAGAGTGGGGATCGACAAACTTTTTACTCACAGCGAATACCAAAAATTTGACCTGATCGGTCTTTATAAAAGCTTTTTACTCGACTTAGCAATCTAATCCTATGACGTCATAAATTCAAATATACCATGTTGATTGACGATAAATATGGCTTCATTATTTCCAGTAGGCTATGCATTATTTCATCATAAAAGGTTAAACATAAGGCAACCAAGTCCCTTTTTTATACAACCAACCAAAATTGCAAAACTTCACAAAAAAGTTTAACCTTTCAAAGTGGGAAACCCTTTCGCCTGGTAACAAATTTTTCACGGACCAGCAATGGGCCGTATCCCAATAGTTGTCTGCTTAGCTAGATTTATGCTCCAAAACTCTCATGCCCGAAATATTTAGAGCTTCAAATTTGCGTTAATGAAAACAATGTTTCCATGGCACTTTGGTCCATTTAAAAAAGGTTTATTTGATGGATAACACGAGTCAATGGCGATTGTTGCTAAATTAATTTCTGATCGACCAGTTCTATTTCTTGACTCTGCAAATTTCACATAGCATACTACGCAGCAAAACAATGCAAAGTCTAACTGGGTGGCTCCCTCTTATAGACGGCAGTAAAATTTACGACCCGGTATAACACACAGCATCATAACTGACAATATAAATGCCCGATTATACGATCATAAATAAATGAAGGTTGTGTACTAAAGTTTATCCTAATCTGAGTCCGAAATATCGTTACATTTTTGTAAGTGAAAGGTTTTGCTTTTATTATTCAGACGTTATACAGCGTGTTGCTTGTTAATTAATGTATTATTAGACAAAACATGGCTAAATTTTATTAGGGTTCTTTATTGGATGACCAAACAAACAAATACTGTACTGGTCAACGCTCGTCAAATAACCATATATCGTGTCACATATGTTGGCAAATAAAATATTGAATTTATTAATTCGATAGTTAGAATACTTGTGTAATAAAACCTTCAGTCTTTTCCATTAGCATCACTTCGTATGTATACTACAGCCTATCCTCAAGTATTAAGTGTATTTTAATCCAGAATGCTGAAAATAAATCTTATTTACATTTTTCTTTGTGTTTCTGGTCAATTAAAATATAATATATTTCAATGTATTATCAAGTATATACATATATACGTACAAGGGCGGTATTCTTTTCTTCAATTGATTTATTTTATTTTCCGTTCCATGCACAACGAAAATAAATATCTCCAACTAAGTATGATATTGCTCCGATTCCATACATTTGGTTTAATCAACCAAATCTTATTAAAAGTTTTGGTTTTCTGAATTCAAATGGCCCACAGTGGAATGGAATCAAGTTACCCAACAAAATTATTTTTACTTCATTATTCATCAAATGAACAAACTAATTAATTAGGTTGTACGTTTTGGTTATAAATAAGTAAAAGGAATTAGCGTTCCATTATTGCAAACTATTGATTATAGATCATTATCGCTCATTAGGACTTAATCATGGTCGCAGAAATTGATATTTTAGTTTGGTCGAAGATTGGTAATCAGTGAAACATAATTAGTAAATTATTCCACCTTTTATGTGGAGGGAACTTTTACCTGATCTGGCCCAAGTCTCGTGTAAATCTGTATTCACTAACGCGTACTGCGCCGCCATGAATCAATATAGTTTCAGTACTTGGCACTTCATAACTCCCCTTAGAGATCAGACACAACTGTGACGTTGATTTGGGAAAAATTCATTAAAATGTCTGTTCCATTTGTCCTAATATACTGTTTTTATTCTCCAAAATATTAACTTAAATGGTAAATATAAAATAGTATATTCAATATTTAATGAGTATAAACTAATGTAAAATGCCAATATGTTCTCGATTATATACAAGCTCCATGCCTGTCATCTCGCTCAGGGTGTATTTATTAGAGTACGATTTTTTTCACTCTGGAAATGTTCCGGTTAGTACAAAAACATGTTAGTTTTATATAAATCAGTGGCCTGTCGGAGACTCTTGCATGAGAGAGATGTGAGGCAACGTCCTTAAGTATTAGTGGTTGCTGATACGACTACTAGAGGTACACATAGCATAGAGCAGTGGTTCTTATAATTTGCATCACTGGATATATTCTCGGGTATCTTGATTTATACATTTATTTTCCAGAAATTTTACTTTTTATTTGCTGTTGTTCAAAATTTGACATAAGATTATATGCACAAATATGTAAAGCAAATGCGTTGTGAGTTCATAAAGTTTTGGAACTTCTGGTATATATAAAGTTTACTTTCTTTACTGTAGATTTCTTGTCACTTTATCTGCAATTGTTCAAATTCAATATGGTCGAATATCCTCAATTGTAGGATTATCGTAAGATTTCCACGAATGATCGAATATGTCATGCTTAGGAACTCCTATGGGCATTCAAGTCGGCAGTTGACGTCGATTGCACTACATAAATCGATTTCGGCGAAACGAATTAGGAGACTATAGACGTAACACGTAATGTAAAATGACAAATTTCTGGAACAACGGTATATTGATGTTCGAAGGCGACGAAAAGAATTTGACATAAAATTGAAGAGAATTAATTGTTTTTTTTTAATAACATGCTTCTAAATTTCAGGGCGTTTTAATCGGAAAAAGAGCAGTACTCAAATACATGGACACAAAGTTTCAATAAAAACTAACCCCAGTGCCGCTTATTCTATGTGACTTACACTGAGAAGCTTAGAATACAAATTACAATTCAGGTCCAACCGCCGTAACAATTCACATCGGTACCGGTAAGATCGGAGCTGAGTAGTGAGCACCAGTTTTGTCGGGAAGATGTCGGACTGGGCTGGCGCAATGAAACGTGCAGCCCAATGTTTGTATATAATGTAGATAGTAAAATTTGGTTTAAAATATGGAAGAAAATGAAAGTAATAGCCCTCTAGCGGCTTCAACTTTTTTCAATTATTGAAAATTGGGAAACCATCAGACCAGTAGTTTCAAGAAAAAAATGATTTTTACAACAATGATAACAAACTCAACAACTACAGCAATAGCAACAAGTTATCAAAGTGATTCAAATACACAATGCGTATCCAATAATAATTTAATT